CGCCCGCCGGTCCGCCCGCTCGCCCGTGTGCCAGTCTCCCTGTCCCTTTTCGCCCGACACCGCGCGAGTTTGTGCGTCCCCCTTGTGCCCCGCCTACCTGCCTGCCTGGCCACCACCTCGCTCACCCTCCAGCCCTCCGCCCCCCGTCCCCCGCCCGCCCGCGTACACAGCAGAAGAGAGGCATCATGTCGATTCTCGAGGACATCGACGCGTTCATCCTGCAGAACACCGTCCCGGTGCCGCCGGCCCTTAGCCGAGTGTCTCTGGAGGCGCTGAACTCTTCCAAGAGCACTTCCCCGCCCAACGGCCCGTCCGATCCCTCCATGCCGGGGTCCATGGGGAACCCGATGCTTCCGTCGCCGGCTGGCGCGACGGCGGCGGCGGCCGCCGCCACCCCGGCTCCCGCGCCGACTGCCCTGCCGCAGGCCCTCCCCCCGACGGGCGGCCTCCCGGCCGCGCATGCCAGTGCCTATGGCTCGCTGCCTGGCCCGGGGGGCATGGGCGCCCCCGCCGGTGCCGGCACCCCTGGCATCCCCCCGCCCGGGGCTCTGACTCCCGGCAGCGGCATGTCCAGCCCGTATGGCACGATGAACACCGCGGCGGCGGCCGGTGCTCCCGGTGGTGGGGCCGCTGGCGCTGGGATTCCCCCGCCCGCCGGGCCCTATGGTACCATGGGTGCCGGGATGAACCCCTATGGCACCATGGGTGCCGGGATGAACCCCTACGGCACCATGGGTGCCGGGATGCATCCGTACGGCACCATGAGCGGTGCTCCTGGTGGCCCTGGCGGTCCGTATGGCACCATGGGCGGCCCTGGCGGCATGGCCGGCGCCGGCATGTATCCCTATGGCACCATGGGTGGTCCGGGCGGTCCGGGCGGCCCGTACGGCACCATGGGCGCCGGCGCCAACCCCTATTCCACCATGGGCGGGCCAAACCCCTACGGCACCATGGGTCCGGGTGGCCCGGGCGGCCCCTATGGCACCATGGGCGGCGGGACCACCGCCTCCGGGACCACTCCCTCCGGTGCCGGGTCCTTCGGTGGGCCTGGTGCCTCCGGCTACATGAGCCTCGGGCGGAACTCCACCATGGGTGGTGCTGCCGGTGCCGTTGGTGCTGGCAGCCCCACCGCCGCGGCCACCGCTGCCGGTGCTGCCCTTGCTTCCGGCCCGAGCTCTGCCCTGCAGGAGCGCATCCGCTCCTACTCGGGTACGCCTCCAGTCCCCCTTCCCTCTGGCGCTGTTTCTTGCTCTCTCTCTCTCTCTCTCTCTCCACCGTGCACACACACACACACACACACACATGCACACACACATGCACACACACTTGATCGCCGCTCTCGCCATTTCCTTCTCCCGTCGCCCTGACCTTGCTCCTCTCTCTGTTCGCCTGTCCCTCTTTGTGCCCTTCTCAGGTGCGGCCATTTCTCCCACCGCCTCGGTGTCCACCTACGGCGGCCCTGGCAACCCTGGCTTTGTGCAGTCCTCCTTCCTCAACTCCGGAGGGGCGCCGGCCGCGGCCAGCCCCCCAGCTGGCGGCTCCGCCGACAGCACCCTCTTCAACCTGTCGGCCTCGACGACCACCCCCCCGGGTGCGGCTGGTGCCCAGCGTCCGCCTGCCTCCGGTGCCATCCGTGTGACCTTCCACTCGAAGGTGCGTGTTCTCCTGCTTCGCCGAGCTTCTTTCTTTCCTTTCAACGGAGTCCCGCCCATCTAACTTCCCATACTCTGCCTTCTCCATCTGCATGCACCTGTATCTATCTATCTATCTCTCTCTCTCTCTTTGTTTCGTTCCCCCCTCCTCTCTCGCCGTCCCACTTCCCTCGGCTACCTCGTCACCCAGCTTTCTACCTACCCCTCGGTGATGAAGGAGCTCCAGCCTGGGCGCCCCGTCAAGATCGGGCGCTACACCGACGACACCCGCGGCAATGCCTTCTTCATCGGCTTCGACTCGCAGGTGGTCTCGCGTGACCACGCCGAGATCAGCAACCAGAACGGCGAGATCTTTGTCCGAGACATCGCCAGCCGTGGTGGTACTTTCCTCAATGACAACCGTCTGTCAGACCCTTCCAAGCAGAGCACCATGCACAAGGTATATTTCCACTGGTGGACCCACATACTCACACACATGCATGCACACACGCGCGCACACACACACACACATACACACACATGCATACATCCACCTCTGCCCTTCCACTCCTGCTAACATATCCGCCACCATGTCCACCGCAGCTCAAGTCCGGCGATATCCTCCGCTTCGGTGTGGACTACAGCGATCCGACGACCAACCGCTTCGTCAAGGCGGTCGTTGTCGAGGTCAACATCAACACCGCTGGTGGTGGTGTCCCCTCCTCCTCAGCTGGCGCTAGCGCCCCCATGGGTGGTGCCACCAACCTGACCAGCATCAACGCCTACTCCTCCAACTGAGGATGATACCTACGTGGTCACGGATGGAGGATCACTCACGCACGCATACACGCACACATGTGCGCGTGTGTGTGTCCGAGGAGGGAACTTCGCGAAGGCGCAATCACATGTGCCTGTGTGGGCGCCTTCCCGAAGTCTCTCTCTCTCTCTCTCTCCCCCTCCCCTTCTCTCCCCCCCTCCCCTCTCTTTCCTTCTCCCCTTCCCCGAGTGAGCAGCGTATGGATGTGGCACACCCTCTTCCTTCGCCCCTTTCTCTCTCCTCCCAGCTCACTGTGGGGCTGTCGCTCCATGCTCGCGCACAGGGCACGCACTTCGTTCCTTTGTACTTGTTCATACGCACACACACACACACACATGCCTTTTCTCCATCCCCCTGCCCGTGCACAATGTCTGCCGATCGCTGGGTCGTCTCCCTCCCCCCAACGGGGAGAGATTTACACAGGGGGTCTTTGCTCCTCCTCTGCCGATGAAGCCAGTGCCCTGTGCACACGCCTTGTGAGAGCCGACGTGTCCCATTTTCCATTCTGCAGGACTCCCCCTCCCCCGCTCTCCCCCCCGCCCCCCCTCTCTCCCCCCCCCCTGCAAACAATAAAACACCAAATCCCGCATTTGCCCATCTGCGTGCGCGTCAGTTCCAGCCACAGAGGGAGGAGGACACGTGTCTGCTCGTGTATTTGGCCCCTCCTTCTCGGAGTTGAATGGCGAGCAGGAGAAGAGAGGAGCACATGGGCCCGGCCATGCCGCGACCGGGCACTGGCCGGCTGTGCCGGGACGCTCAACGGAACAGCGGCAAAGACCGGAGAGTGTTGCCAAATTGGGCGCGCGGATACGGCCGGGTGGCGATGGCGGTCGGCAGGTCCTCCGGAAGCTCGGTCCAGACACTGGGAGTGCGAGTGGCGTGCGTCAGAGACGGGCAGCTGGGCAGGGGGGCGGGGGCACGAAAAGTGGAGGAGGCCCAGCCAAGCGATGGGGCATTGCACCACGCGAGACACGCACATGTGGTCCAGCCCGGCGGCGGTGAGCGCATCGCGCGCGCCAAGAAGCTTCTCCTCGGACTTGGCCACCAGGACCACCTTGCGCATGGACCCATTGAAGGACTCCCCGTTGGAGGCCTGCAGCATGGCGCAGCCCGGCTCGCCGGTGACATAGCGCACCGTGTCGGGGTGGTCGCGGAAGGCCCAGACGGCCGCCGAAGCGGCGTGGCTGCCCTGGGCTATGGGAGCCAAGTGGGGCGTTTTCATTTTGTCATTGCATCTTTCGTCAGGAGAGGCAGGCGTGTGCGTGTGTGTGTGTGTGTGTGTGTGTGTGTGTGTGTGTGTGTGTGTGTGCGAGAACAAGCGGGGGGAGCGAAGCAGACAAGGTCCCCCCCCCCGGCAGGGGCGCGTGACGCACCAATCAGGCTGCCAGTCGACCAGCCGGGATGCTGGAGCAGGTCATTGCGCACGATGATGTACATGACCAGTTGCTGTGCCGGATCGACAGTGACGGTGGCCGCAGTGGTGGCGGGCACACCATCAGCAGAGGAGGGGGCAGTAGCAGAGGAGGTGGCAGCAGTGGCAGCGGGAGCAGTCATAGTGAAGGGCCGGGTGGTGTAGCAACGGGAGAGGGATACAAGAGAGGAGGCAGGCCGGAGCGCGCGGAGCATCGGGCAGCGGGGCACAGCAACAGGGCAGGAAGAGAGATGATGGGTGTGCCTGGGGGGGTGAGATGAGTGCGTGTGTGTGTGTGTGTGCTTATTTGCCCAACCCCCCGCCGCGGCCGCCGCCACACGGGGGAGATCGCCCTGCCCGCAGAAAAGGGACGCCGAGGGACCGGGGACACTGTGTGAATGGCGCGTCGTGACCTCCGGAACACGCGGGCTCTGGGGCGAATGCCCAAGGAGCGCGCTGCCAACGAAGATAGCGTCGGCACCTGGCTAGTCTGGGCCGTGCCTGGCCCCCGTTGGCCGTCCGGGGGTTGAGCGGAGGTGCACTTGCACACGCGCGCCTTGCCACCGCCTCCAGGGGTGGAGAGACAGCAGCAGAGGCGGAGAACAGGGCGGGGCGGTCCGCGGGCCAAGATCGTCCCCATGCACGGGCCGGCTTTTGTTGTCTCTTTCTGCCAGGGGGAGGTCGTTGCCACCGCCATCCTCGACACATGGGCCGGCCATGACCGCCGCACGGTTGGGCCTTTTTCTCGTTGCTCGGCCAAGGTGCGACGCGGAGACCCGCTTGGCCATGCCTCCCGTTATCTCCCTCTCCTCCTCCTCCTCCTCCTCCTCCTCCTCGCTCCCTCCCCCCTCTTCCTCCCCCTCCCTTTCCCTCCCCACATTCTCTCCCTTGCTCCTGCCCCTCCCCCCTCCGGCGGCATGTCGGACTCCCTGCTGCAATCACCTGGCGGTCGGCCGGGGGTCAGCCGCTTTGCGGCCGGCGCGGCCAACCTCCCACCCTCGGCCGGCCTGGCGGATGGGCACTTCTCGCCGAATCCCCCGTCAGCCCTGCTGAGACAGGCTACTGACCGGGCGCCCCGGCCGGCCCCCGGTGGGTCGTCCTTCTGGCGCATGGCCGGGGCGTCTCCCGGTCCCGGGGAGTCGATTCTCGCGTCACCCTCGCTGTCCTCCTTGCAGGGGGCCCCGCCGACGCCGTTGGTGTCGGCTGCCGCCACCCCGTCCCCCGGCGGCTCGAGCCCCCTGCGCTCGGGCGCCGGGTCCGGCGCCGCCGGGCGCCTCTTTCTCCCGGGCAGTAGTTTGTCGCTGGAGGATTTGGCCGGGCGTCCGGCGGTGTCGGTCCACACGCAGCGCGCCCCGCAAGCGCCTCTCCATCCGTACTCGCTTGGGCTGCGCGCACACCGGGGCCCCAGTGCACAGGGCCGTGGCGTTGTCCCGGCGGCCATCCCCCCGGCCGGTGGCCATCCCTTTGCCCAGCCGATCGACGCCTACCACCCGCCCTATTTGACCGGCGCCATGGAGCCGCCCTTCCCCATGCCAAGCTCGGGCACCGGGGCCGATGAAAAGAAGCCCAGCCAAACGCCGGGCAAGCGTCGGACCACCCCGCCGCATCTTGGCCCCGAGGTCCCGGCCACCCCGGCGCCCGGGGTCGAGGCATCTGCCCGCAAGCCCCCCCGTGGCGGGTCTGTGCCCTTCTCCAACTTCGGCATGACCCCCGGACCTGCATCGAAGAGTGCGTCCTCCTGTTGCGCCTCTGACCCCACATCCCACCTCTCTCTCTCTCTCTCTCTCTCTCTTTCGGCCTTCCTCCTGTTCTTGCGCGCACCCCTTTGCACACATTGGCATGCCGGGCGACAGCTCTGCCCCCCCC